AAATGAATGGGATTTTGTGACATGTAATATAAAAGCCTACAGAAGGTTATGCAAATTTTGAAAGCTTTTTTTTCTAGCCATGTTACAGAATCCAAACCAAACTATTCAAAATTAAAAATTCGAAGTGATCATTAAAATTTACCAGAATATTGTTTTCATATTGCATTTAAGAATGTTCCTTGAAGAAAAGTTTCCTGCCTTGACAAAAATTGTATGTGTGACAGTGGGACATGCTGCTTGTGATTTGGTCCTGCAGTTGCAGCAGTATGTGTGCTTCTTGGTACGTGGAAGTTCTCGTGCAAATGCCCAGTAAGCCCCCACCCATGCAAAATCAGGTGATTGCACAGTTGGTGCTGTGAACTGTGCATGTCTGTCCCCGGTCTCTAATGCATCCTACTGTGATCTGGCCATCTTTTTTTTCAGATGAGTTCTTTAGGGGAAAATCCTTTCTTTTATTTTGGTACATAAAATGAAGCCCCAAAACATACAGCAAGTGCATTTGGGACCAGTTAGGAGTTCCAGGTGGTACCACAGCCTAAAACACGCACCTGGATGCCAGCTTAAAAAAAGAATGGCAGGGAGAAAGCACAAAACCAGCTGTTTTTCAGCATTGTAAGGAATTTGTTTTACTCTTTACCTTAGTTATCAATGAGCATGTTTAGTTGATCTGGTTTTGCTTTTGTTTCCAGCCTGTTTGCTTTCTCATTCTCGTGCCCTAGAGCATTTCAGTTTTAGTCACTGCATGACACTGCTTAAATCAGAGTTGGAATGAAGTCACAAAGTGAACAGTAAGCCAGTCTTCTCCAGAATTCATGGGAGGAAACTGCATTGAAAATTTTTAGCATAGATTGGTAAATGAATACTGACCGGTGTGAAATTAAATTCACATTAGCTTAGCTCTTCTTTTTTGTTGTTGTTGTTTTGTTTTATTTTATCAAGTTAGTTGTTTGTTAGTGTTGATTGCAAACATGTTATTCATGCCTCTATTCCCAAGTATCCGGCCTTTGAGTTTCGATGAGTAAAGTGGTTTGGAAAGAATCCAGATCAGTTCATGCAGAGGCTATGCACGTTAGTAGAAAACTACTTACAAAGTCTGAGAGTGCATTTTAATGTAAAAAAAGACTCTGTGTGTATATATGTGTGCACGTGTGTGTATATGCATATGTACAATTACATCACTCTAAAATTTTCAGCAATGTACTGTCTTGCATAAATCTTTATATTGTTTCGCATCATCATATGTATTTTATAAAAAAATCCAGATTTTCTTGTCCTTTAGGGAAACAGTTTACATTCTGAGTAATGGTTTGCAAAGCATACACAGTTCTCTGCTGTTTTGTACTAGAGAATCTAAAACAATAAAATATTTCAAAATGTTTCATGCATTGAGTTTGCAACTGTTTTTAGAAAATAATAAACACTTGTATTTTTATCTAGTCAGACTAGTCTAATAGTACTCTAAATTCATCCTGAGATAGATGAAATATTCAGACTGCTTGAAAAAGAAACTATTTTCCTGTATACAAGTTTTGTGCAATGAAATTACAACATATAAACTGTACCCATTTAGGATATGATGTTAATGTGCTGAAATCAGTGGATTAGAGCAGTGTTTATCCTCTTCAGCTTCCTTCTTTGAGAAGAATTTAAGCTTGCTCTGTTCTCCTTTTACATATGCTGTCATTCTAAGGATTCTAAACGTTATGAGTAGCTCAAACAACACTGTAACTGTGATATATAAGTGCCGTTTAAAGCAGCTCACTGCAAAACAGTGGTGTCATTGAAATACTGTGTACAGTGTTTTCACTTTGAAGTATTGTGCAATACAGTATGTCATGTTGCACAAATTGATAACTGTTGATGTTTTATGGTGACCCTGGCTGGGCTGTGCTGTGCTGGCAGAATATATGTCTCATTTCAGCACCGGTGAGGGGCACTTAGCATGCACCTCCTTACAGGCATGGAGCTGACCTCTCTGGGAATACTGCACATGGGCAGGGTAGATGGCTGCATGGGTTTCGTGTGAGGTGTCACTTGAAAGCGTCAGATTTACAGGTCAAAAATGCAAAGCTTTTGGTCAAAAATGCAAAAGGTCCTGCCACCTTGCTGTAGGAAGAGCACATTGTGCAGAGGGTGAGGTGGTATCGTATGTGCCATTGCCAAGCTCTGAAGCCTTTCCCAGGTGCAAAGCACACTTCCGAAGAGAGAATCGCTTCATTTCCACCGATTTTTTTTCTGGTGGGGCATGGGCTGCAGCAGTGTTGCTGTGTGTTACATGTGTAAGTACCGAACCAGATTTGATTGCAGGCTGTCCTTCACGGTGAGGTGCAGGCACAGCTCGGGAGGGAGGATGCAGACCCGGTGTGTGGCGTCTCTCTTCCTGGGCCATACGGCCTCAGCACCAGCTCCTCACGTAACTCGGCACAGCCTGGTCTTTGAGTTGGACAAATCTGCTGGGTCCCAGAGTCAAGGCAGGGGTCACCAAGGCGTGACAAGGCCTCCCCACATGTCGGAGGCCATGTGGCAGAAATTCACCGTTGAGAAGAAAAGGGCTCTCCCTCTCCCCAGTTGGTACTAATCATGGAGAACAATGCTGGCTGCTTTGCAAAATATTAGTACTGCTGTACAAAATCTGGGCCTCTGCTTATGGCCCGCTGAGTCAGACTTGTTTACTTCATTGAAGTATTAATCTCTGTCTCTGATTGGCAGTCAACAACTCCAGGCTCCAGGCTTAATAGAATTTCAAACTGTAGATTGTGCAGTTTTGCTGAAAATATGAGGCTTCTATCGCACTTTGAATGATGTGTTCTCCCTCACTCCCCTTTGGTCTGTTTTTCAGGGCTGAGGTTAAGATAGATAATTAATTCCTCCCATCCCAAGCCTTGTCTTTTAATTTAACAATTTACTTTAGCATCTGCCTGAATCTTCTGCATGTACTCCTGAGAGGTTAAGCAATGAAAGAGCCGTTAAATTAACTTCAGCCATTAATTTTTTTCAGTAGGGTGAAATAGCACTTCATTATATCAAACAGTTTCTGGTTTATTTTTTTTGGTATCATGACATGCGGGAAGACGACGCTTGTTTTCTGTTTGCGAGAGAGGATGGTGAGTGAAGATGCCTGTCTTCTGGTCCTGGGGCTTACCTCTGTGTTAGCAAGAAGTAGGATGCAAGGAGTGGATTGGTAGAGTGAAGACAACTATTGCCAAGGGCCTGATGTCCACACTACGCAACTGGGAAGGTAGCGGGGAGAGGTTTAGCTAAACTTAGCTAATATATCACTTCCCTCAGAAATACTTTGCTGTTGCCTGTAAAGCCTTTTGTGAGAATGAAGCAGTGTCAAGCTCTGTTGCCCTATTCTTTGATGTGTTGTGAGGTCCATAAATGCTGTCACTGGTGAGTCACTCCTGGCCGAGGCTCTGATCACTCTCCTGCTAAGCAGTCTGCCCGATTCTCCATGCTATGCACTTGCCACTCCAAGAAACCCTTATGCTCTTTTCACAGGCTAACTTTCCCATTTGGAAAACTGTGTATCTTCGATTTTTCTAAGAAATACATGCAAACAAATCAGTACCAAATCTCCTGCAATAGTCTTTCTGCTCAAAAGTCCCAAACAGTGGCAGCAGAATTGAGCTTGTGTGTCAGAAACACAGCAAAGGAAAAATGGTTGGTCTTGGAGTGTCTCGAATTAGCGATTCCACACAGAATTTATGGTGATTTATAGTCCACCAACTAGTGAGGCTGAAATGTCACTACTGCCTTGAAAGTTCATATGCCTCCTGCCTTTCTAGTTGTTCCACTTCCATGCGCATCCAGTCTCACTGTTCCTTCTAGTAGATTTTAAAGATCCTCAGTCTTTTGCAGTTGTGTCATATAGCTGTCAATTCACAAACTCGACAACTTTCCTGCTTTTGGCAATAGACTGTTTCTTTTAGTGCCAATATATTGCCCTGCTGCGTTTCGGGACAGATGGTAGTTGGAGCTGCTGAATGTCAGGAAGTTCTGGAGGAACTGAAAGATGCATTTGTGGATCAACCCTTTTGTGCATGCACTGGAAGCCTAGTGCTACAGCTGTGTTAGATTACCTGTGTGCATGATGGATGGACTACATGTATGAAGACAGTTTGCTGGGGCCGCAGTTGGTTTGCAGTGCGTCATTTACAGATCAATTACCTACATGTACTGGGTAGGGTGTGTAAGATTTGCCAGTGATATGAGCTGCTCCTTGGTATTATTTCTGCTTATGCATCACTTTAGTTAATAATTCTTCCTAAATGATACCTGTAAAGTAGGTGCATATTTCAAACCCAGGAGAAAGTAAGGACCATCCGAACCGGTCGTACAAGTCTGTAGAGTAACTATCCTCATCGCTTCTGTCTGAATAAAACAAGGATTGGAAAATGCACTTTTTACTCCATTTCAATTTTGGTATAGCTGCCCAATATGCAATTGCTTGGAGAAGAATATTGTTGCCACTGTACCAGAATGCTATATTTTTAAAAGCGTGGAGTTATTTTAAAAATATATGTATGCAAAAAAGTATATAAAGTATATGCTTGGATTCATTTCAAAGTATAAGCATTGAACATTAGTTGTTCTAGATGCCTCTGTAGTTAGTAGAAAGGCATCTCTCAAGAGAGACTCCTCCCATCCTGAGCTATGTCTCCAAAATTATTTGTGCAAATAGCCCCTGGCCATTGACTATGTCTCTGTAGGGAGCCTAAACAATTCATTCAGATGGGTTAAGTCAGCTGCAGATGGTGAAAGCTGTGAAATCAGATATGATGAAATTCCAAACTCTTTGCGGACTGTAAGCATTATGCCTGATGATCAATCTATTCAGCATGATTCTCCTTATTTAAAGAATTTTGTGTTATTATTTTTGCACTCTGTGGGTAACTGCTTTAACAAAAGTTGTGGAGAGAGTTCACCACAGCTTTAGATACTGTTCGGCAGGTTGTTCACTTCTATTATCTAACATGTATTATTTTTGTCTTCTTTAGTCTTCTGGTACCAGTATCACAGTGGATATCGCTGTCATGGGAGAAGCACATGGGCTCATTACAGACCTTCTGGCAGATCCTTCACTGCCCCCCAACGTGTGTACTTCGCTGAGAACAGTGAGCAACCTGCTTAATACGCAGTTAACCTTCCAGGCCATCCACAAGCCAAGGGTGAACCCTTTGGTGTCCTTCAGTGAGAACTACACCTGCTCTGACTCAGAAGAATGTCCAGAGAAAGGAGAGAAACTAGCTATTCCCAAGGTGAGTACTGGACTCTGTCTGTCATCTTGTAACTTGGCTCTCCCTAAAGGGACAGCACTGGACTAGTGGGAGATGGTGCCCGGCTTTTCGCTTGTTTGCTTCAGATTAACATCTTATGCACTAATCATATTCTACTATAAAAGGACAGCTAAGTGGACTGTTGCTTTCATAGTAAGACAATTCCTGTGTATCCTTCAACTCATGGCCAGGCTAACTTTGAATCAGGCATCTTTAGAAGATGACGTTCGACACAGGATAGCTCATGTAGATGGTGTGCATATTTCCTCACAGGTGTTGGTTAGAGCTTAAGAGAGAAGAAATGATAGGGAACAGAGCAAGCAAAAGCCTTTCAGCATCCAGGCACACAAGTCTGTCCCATTACTTCTCACGCAGAAATGCCCTTCCCACTCAAAAGATTTGACCCACTGCATGTGGGTGACTATCCTAATTGATGGGCAGTGGGGAATTATGTAATAATATGAAGGACCTTTTTGCCCACTTTGAAGATTGGAATTTGAAATTCTGTATGAATTTCAGTCTCTTCTTCCTTCCCTTAGCTAGAGGTGTGAAACCTATACAAGTCAATGAAAAAGTCTCTACTGATGGCCTCCAGGTGCTTTAGATCAAATTTAAAAAGCTGTATACCAAACAAACAAACAAAAAAGATAACCACAATACTTAATATGACAAATATTGCGAGCTCATGTGAAGCAGTCTTAAGAAGCAAAAGTAGACTGAACCAACAAAATATATATATTACTGCCTTGACAGATGGCTTTATGAATGCTCAGGAATCCAACAAGAAATAAACAGTGTTAACCACCCACATTCAGTAAGTGAAGAACTAGAAAGAACACATCAGCTTTGAAGTAGTTTGAATTGTAGGTTCGTTGCTAATTAGCTGACCTGCAAGGCTTACATTTCACTTTTGAAACTAAACCAAAATACTTCTGTACTGCAATCTCCCTTGTAAAATTGAATATAGGCAGAGTACGTTACACAGGCGAATGCTTTTAACAGTTCAAAGGGCACAGCCAGCATTCATTCCAGCATTTCCTGGCATCTGAATTGCAACACGTGTGATTCTTGTTTCAATATATTTAGTGTGATGGTCATTATTACCCTCTTTGCCTAAGTAGCAGCTGTATATATGGAGTGGATGTTCACACGTTTTTAACTGCATTTTCCATTTTCCAGTTTATTTTATGTACATGTCTATAATGGCTGTACTCTAGGCTCTGAGGAGAAGAGTTAAATGGAAGAACACTGCCATCACATGAGCAAATACAGTGAACAAATACCAGTTTGCTGTTGCATAATACCTAGTGAGGAGAACAGAAATGAAGGATGAAGAATGAGTTAATGCTACAGAGGACTAATTTGACTGAAGAATTCACTGACCTAAATGTATTACAGTTCATAAAACTAATAGTTTTCAGTCCTTTATTTAAGGGTCTAAATATAGATTTAGGGTCTTTACCTTAAGCATCTGACACTGAGCATTTTGGGTAAGGACATAGTATGTTAACATATTTATCTGTAAGTTTGAGCTTCAGAGCCACAAGTGTCTTCCATCTCGTATCTCTTAACCCTCTGGCAAAGTCAAAGCTCTTCATCACAGAGACATATTTATTTTAGTTCTTAACTATAAACAGTTCACAAGAACTACAAGAGAAACATCTTACAAAATTATAGCATCTGCAACAGCAAATCTGGATCCACAAAGACTCTCTATCATCATCCTTTATTATCTCTGCCTTCAAAAGTACAGAAAAACAATGTGAGTCCTGTTAGTGGAGAAAAGGAAGAGTCAGGTGAAAGAAAAATGCAGGGTGGTCAAGAAAAATCTGCTGTAAACAGTGAAGCTTTCTCTAAGTTTTTCAGGAGATATCATATCCCAGAGCATGAAAGTTTTATTTCAGTGGGTGATCTTTGGGTTGGGTAGATATAGCAGGAAAAGAAGTTGGAGCTCCCCTCCCTTATTTTTCTTACAGTCTTTCTTGCCTTGAATCTCTGATTCTGAGCGTTCATGACAGTTTAAACCACAGAATAGTTGACGCTGAAAGTACCTCTGGAGATCGTCTAGTCCAGTCCCTCAGCTCAAGCAATTTGAGCCTGGAGCAGGTTTCTCTAGGCTCAGTCTAGAGCAGGCTGCTCAGGAGGATGTCCAGTTGGGCTTTGAGTGTCTCCATGGATGTAGATTCCACAACCTCTCTGGGCAACCTCTTTCAGTGTTGAGTCATCCTCACAGTAAAAAATATTTCCTTACATTTAAATGGAATTTCTTGTATTTCAATTTGTGCCCTGTTGCCTCTTGTCCTGTCACTGGGCACCACTGGAAAGAGCCTGGCTCCATCTTCTTTACACTCTCCCTTCAGGTATTTGTATATGTTGGTAAGATCTCCCCTGAGCCTCCTCTTCTTCAGGCTGTGCAATCCCAGCTCCTTCAGCCTTTCCTTTTATGACAGATGTCACAATCCCTCAGTTATCTTTGTGGCCCTGATGATTTGTTTAAGTGCCTTTGGCCACATCTTATAAGACCAAAATTTTTAAAGAGCACAACTGACATTGGTTGACTCCAGTGAGAGCTCCAGGTGTTGAACCTCTGTGGTTATGGGGCTGTGGATGTATACCTTTTTTTAAACTTGAAATAGGGAGGATGGTTCAGACCCTGCAAGCATTTGAAGCACCAGCTGTGTTGATGTCAATAGAAGGTAGGCACCATAATACCTGGGAGAATCCAGATTTAAGGTACCTCGCTAGATGTTGTCAGGCAGAATTAATCAAATGGAAATGGTTTTCTTCTGCATGTTTAAAGTTTTTGTAAGCCTATGTAAACTCTAAGTAACTGATTTCTCTCTAGCGCTTACGGAGAAGTTTGCCTCCGGGACTGCTGAGACGAGTGTCCTCAACTTGGACCACAACAACATCAGCCACAGGATTACCTACACTGGAGCCAGCTCCAGTGAGAAGGGATCGCAGTGCCAGCATCAAACCTCATGAATCATCTTCATCCAGGTTACAGATTACCTCCTCTCTCTCTTATGTCTCTCTTTGGGCAAATTGCTTTGGTTCTGTGTGATGATGTCCCTCATTTAAAAATGCTAATTCCAAAGTGTGTTAGGACTACTTCTTCATGTTTCTCTAAATTGGGTTGCCAAAGGAGTGGCATTCCCAATTTTAGTCAGATTATGCCAAAACTATTCTTATTATTGGGAAGCAATAAAAAAAAAAATCTATTTATGCTAGCAAAGTGCAGAATTGCACAATAAAATTGGAAAGAAGGCAGGGTATCTGGTTAAAGTCTTCTTGATATGCAGCAGTTTCCTCCATGGGATTTGCCCAGCCAAGAAAAAATTCTAACAAGTAACCCAGCTGCTGAATATCGCTTCTAAGAACACAGCTAGTGATGTGGTCCTGTCATTAAACCAGTTTATAAAGCACCTCTCCATCCTCTAGATACTAACTTCCAGAACATAAACCCTGATTTTAAGTGGTCCCTCCTAAAATACACAATTTTGTGGTTTTCTGTCCATAGAAATGGAGTATCATCAGCCCATACAGCACTGTACATGCCCTGCATCCCATGTACACACTTAATTCCAGAATATAAGAAGTGCTTAGGGCTCCCTGAATGAACTCATGCAAATGCAATACCAGCAATAGATGGTAAATAAAAACCAGTGAGTTAGATAAGTTAAAAAGTGATCTAGTGGAGAGAAGAAAGTAGATTTGTTACCACTGGGGGAAAAAGAAAGGTATAATCTAGGAGTAAAATTACAAAGGAATATTTGCTAGCAGAGGTTGAAAGCAAAGCTGAAAATGAAATGGGCAGTGTAAAGTTTTCTTGCAGAATGGTTGCTGTACTTTCCCTGACTTTAAGCACTGCAGTAGAACACTTCTTTCCCATTGACTACAGAGTTTAGTTTCTGGGACTCAGAATCCCAGCTCTCCCATCCTTATTCCCAACTGTCTCATCTAGTTAAAAGGCTTTTCCTAATTTGCCACAAGCAGCAAATTAGAAAAACATAGCTGGTTTTTTGGGGTGCAGACTGAGTGCCCTCTTCTATTTATGATGTATTTACTTATTCATTTAAGATGCCTCATATTTTCAAGGGGTCTGTAAGTAGGCGCTCATACTGGAAGAGTCACAACTACAAAACAATAATTAATGAAGCCTTGGAATGAATTTCGGCAAAACCACTGGAGGAATTGTACATTATTTGTTTGTCTTGCCTGGAAAAAGAGTTCTAGATTCAATCATGACACATACACTTTAAGGTTATGTTCATATAGTGCATCATAGAAACAGAGCAGTAGATCTGCAAAGAGGTTTGCATAGGCTGAGGTACCTACCTACTCCATTTTGTGCCCAAGCCAAAATTTTGTTCCTGTTTCCTAAAGCGTGTCCCTGAAAGTCTTTCAGTGTTACCCAGCAGCACACTAGTTCTCACTATTCTGAAGAGATGGGTTTTTATCTTATGGCTGTAGTCCCTCATGACTGACTATATCAGTTAGGTATTCCCTGCTCACTCTTACCCATTCTCTTTTTCTCAGGGCCTGATCCCTGAACGAGTATCATAAAATACATAGTCCTCCCATGAAATGGAGAGAGAGAAGTTGTGTCTGCTCAACTGCTCACAGCCAGCAGCTGACTGGTTTAGGGCGTTTGCAGAGCACTACCCTAATAAAATTGCTTCTCTGCCTGAGGGCATTCAGACCTAGGTACCTCACATTTTGGGACTTCCATGCTACCAGATAGCCTGAGGTGAGCTACATTTAACCCTCCACAAGGGCTGTCGCAGATAATCCAGTAGCAGCGAGTGAAGGAAGGAGTTGAATGGATGTTAGTCTTGTGGGAAGGGTGCTCATCTGTGAGAAGAGGCTTGGATCCCAAGCACTGTTAACTATGATATGTTGTGTAGCTATTTCAACAGGATTTCCTCCTTTCTGGCTCTGTGAATATTTTTCTATTCTAGTCAGAAAGGAGCAGAGCCTTCAAAGGAAGGGCAGAGGGCAGTGAGTCATGCAGCCTGGTAGTTAAGGTTCCAACCTGTAAGAGTAAAGTTCAGGTCCACTCCCCACCTCAGCAAGGGTTATCATCTTGGAGCTGGTAGATGAGGAAAGACTGTGGAGACATGCTTTGCTATGGGGAAAGGAAGAGCAGAGCAAAAGCACCAAATTCAAGAAGAGAATTCAGAGCCATGGTATCAGAAGACTCACGTGTTTGCAATTCAAAATTCGGTGCCGGTAGTGGAGAAAAAGATAGGACCTGAGAAGGCCCGACATCACCAGTATTTGCCGTTGGATAGCTTGCGTGAATGCAGCCCAAGAGAGCTGCTTTGGTCAGCCTTTCTTCCAGATACATAAACCTTTCCCACAGAGGAGGCTGTCAGGCAGGGCGCCTAGGTGCTCAAGGCAGCCTGCGGAGTACACTGAATGCCTGGTGCAAGAAAATTACATGGTTAGCCAAAGTTCCCTGTGTGAGGAGTCCCATGTATCTCAGTAAAAGTAAATATAAAGAAGCTATAACCAAATGGAAATGTTCTTCAGTCACCGGCCTGTGGTTCCCAGGGTGCATTTGATTTATACTGTTGATCCCAGACTCTCACGTAGTATGTAAGCATCCTAAGATAGGAATCAGAGGGAGAAGGAAAGCAATTAAATATTATTGTTGGTCCTTTTCTACGGTTGTTATATAACTCTGCATGATGAGCCAACTAAGCAGGCTATCAATTCTTCCTACGTTTAATGTCGCCAATTGTATAATTATAGCTCTGTCAAGCCTCCCAGCCTACTGTTTGCAGTTCTTTTACAGTAGGAGAAACAATGTGTATTCCAGAAAGGGGAAAAATTAATCCTATAAGTCAGGCTTTAAAAATTTTGGCAGACCAATACAAATTTGACTTCAAGGAAAAGAGTTTTGAACTGAAGGGGAAAAAAAAAATCTTGATTATCTGCCACTTCCCCTGTACCAAATTCAAGTACAGCGCAGGTCAGAGAAAGAAACATTTCATGGCTTGAAGGGTAGGAGAGGGGAGATGACACTGGAATTGCCCTGTGGCAAATTCTGGGGTTACAAAATCTGCAACTTGTTCCTCACAGTCTGGGACATCACCTCTAGATTTCTATAGTCACATACTTGCAAAAATCCCCCTTAAATCTGTGTTTAAGATTAGTAAACCTGTATTCTTCCAACCCCGTATCACTAAACTGGTAAGACGTCGTCCTCGTATAGCTTCAGATGATTTGTGAAAAATAATAGAGCTTCCACATTCCTTCCCTCAGTCACTTCTATATCCAGTGGTTCCCCTTAAGAAGTCAAAGAATGTGGTTTGGGAGTTTTTGGTTTGTTTTGGTTTGTTTTTTCTTTACAGTGGGCCAGTGTGTTATATTCTTCCTGTCAATTAAAAACCAAACCGCAAAACAAACAAAAAAGTAATTAAAAAACCAGCTGAATTTTTTCTTCATCTTACTCATCATGGATTATAGGAATTTGGGCCAATGAAGGCAACCAGCAAATATTTTTGTAGGTAGTGCTTGCTCTTCCAAAACAGTAAGGTGTTTGTAGAGTTAAGACAATCTTACATGCTTTTTTCTTTCAGAACGCTTCTTTTTTTTCCAAGGTTTTTTTCAAGTTCAGGTGGGACTAGGCTGCTTTAAAAGGCTGTCTCTGCCATGCATGTCATCTCTTCCCTTGGATGTGAGGCTGTGAGGAGAAATGTGGAGCCGGAGAGGCCTAGCAGATCTGTCCAGAGAAGTCATATGCCTCGTGATAAGAGCCAGTGCTACATCCCTGCAAGCAGCTGACATTTGATGAGTGTCATTCAGGAAAACAATGATAAATACAATTCTCTTGCTGTACAGAAGTATTTGGCCTCTTCTGGTACACAGTTATAGCCTGAAGGCTGAAAGCATGCGCCCATCCTGTTGTAGGGGACCAGCATTTGTTCCACGCACACACAGACACATGCACCCTATTTTCCTTCAGTGAGTTTCTCTTGGATCAGTGACCAATGTCTTCAGGGTCTGTCAGTAGGATTTTTTTTGAGATGCAGCATGCATTTCAGTTGGCTAGAGCATGAAGTGCTTCACCCAGAGAAGAGACACACCACTAGCAACAGCAAGGCAGGGCTCTTCCTCCCGAGGAGCTCCGTCAGTGCCCAAAGGGTTACTGGGTATCTGCCTTGGCGAATGCAGCAGAGGAGTCAAGGAGACTGATCTTTCATTTACACTGAGAACTTCTGGCACTTCTGGCTCTTGTAAGGAGGCGTTAAAAGAGAATATAAATTTAACTTATTTCAAGTCAACTTTTAAGCCTCTGTACTGTCAGAACAATGTAATGAAGACATCTTTGTATAAAGTGAATAGGCCTCAGCGCTGAAGGAAGCCCAGCTTTGGAGTGTCTGCATTGTAAATATTTTTGCTGAATACAATACTGAGCACCTCACAAGTAGCAGTTCAGCTAGCAGATAGATGCTGTTTTCCTCATCAGATTTTGTTCTATCTCAGTATCGCATACTTCTTGCTGCGGCTCCTAACTTCCTAAGGATCTGCCGTTGAGGCTTTGTACTGTGTCGAACGATGCTTGTTTGCGCTCTGGTTTTGCAGCACTGACTCCTGGAACAGCTCAATTCTGATGACAATCACGAAGAGCAGGTCCTTCTCCACCTCCTACGCCATGTCTTCTACCAACCACCTGAATGCCAAAAGGCAGAGCCGGCAAGGTGAGTGGGCATCTGTGGCTCTGTCAGGCTTGCTTAGCTGCTTTTGCACGTGACTAGCACATGCAGCTGCTTTTGATCTCTGTCCAATCTGTGTCTTTTCTTATTTTTCCATCAATATAAATATAGTTATTTCCTTTATTTAAAAAAAAAAAAAACAGTGGCTTAAAATACCATAGCTCATAGTGATGCCATTGTAAATGTTTTGACTTTTATGATTTACAGGGGTTAGTCATGACATGATGTGGCAAGTGCAATACTAAATTGTGTTGTGATTTATATCCATGTAATTCTCTTGACTACAACGGGGCTGAGAACAGAGTGTTTTCTATAACATTTGTTAGAGTAACTGTCTGTGTATATTGCCTGACTGAGATTTCCTGAAGCACGACATACATAATGCCATTCAGAGCTGTAGGCAGCAACTGATCCGTCTTGTGCAAACATATCCAAGACAAAGCCATTAAAACTCAGAGGTCTATCTCTGTATATTCATTACTGAGAAAGTTGAGGTAGTTCTTACTGATTTTTAGAGATGAGAAATAACGGGCTTTTTACTCAGGTTTTTGGACCTTTAAAAAAATGACTCCTGTTTTAACTGAGGGAAAGAAATCGAGAAGGTGACTTACTAATTGATAATGAAATGTCTAATATGACAGCCATGAAGCAGTCTTAATCCACAGTAACGTGGTTCTCTTCCCTGTACAAATGCAGGATAAAGTAATGTTTACCCATGCTTTAACTTGCAATTCAAAATGATCACAAGGCCTTCCTTTTTCAAATCAGCCCTTTTTTTTTTCCAAACATGGAATAATGTTGAGATAATGTTACTCATAGATACTGGCCACCCAGACATCAGATGGAAATTGGTAGATGCCTGAGGCCTGACACCAGAAAAGTCAGAGAATCCTAACTTAGAGATGGGTTTGAAGATACGGCTGCACAACTGTTCTGCATATCTAGCACTGTCACATCACATCTCCTTTTCAACTGAAGAGTTTATTTAATCTCCTCTTGTACAGAAGCTGCTTTGTTATACCACAGTGAAGATTAAGTAACACAGTATTATCTTAAAAAGTAATAGGCACAAAGGCAAATTAATAAAATTGAACCTGGAAAATAATGAAGATAAAGTACCAAGAATCCAGGAATTTGTTTTAGAACAAAACAAATCCAGCTTAGACTGGTGATTTGCAGAGATTAACCCATTAACTTGAAAGGGTTGTGTGTGTGTGTGTGTGTGTATAATATTTTATACTTGGAAAACAAGATTTATCAACCCCATCAGTCAGTTTTACATTTAGTCTCTTCTGGTTCCAGAAAGCATTAATAGTCATCTCTGTTGCCCAAATGCATGAGCTCCCCTGTGATCAAGGGAGAGCTCCATTCCATCACAAGCAATTCCTAAGGGCACAGAATGACAGGAGTAAAAATTTTGGTTCAGCATTTTATGCAGAAGATTGATATTTTGATGTTTTAGACTGTTTACAATTCTGCATTTTTAATTATGATTTGTTTTTGCATTCCAACTAAGGAAATGCTTTAGTTTGCACTAGTTAATACAAATTAGACTTTCATATATTAGCTCCATTGGCAGTATATAATAATTCTTGGTAGAAGTTAATCTCGCTAAATCTGTAAATCTGTTAATTTACAAAATGTGTCTTTAATTATGCATGAAAACATTAACATTTTAAAATACTGCTAGCTATACCTATTTTGGCAAAATTATGAGGTAAACTCAAGTGTTTTCATATGTAATTTCACATCACGTTGAAGTGACTGTTTTATTTCTTCAACAGTGCACATGTGTAAAAGTACTGGAGGACCTAAGCAGATGGATGTACTTAAGAAAATTCTCCCTGTATTGTTATTATTCTGTTATCTTGATTGTTCAAAATTCCTTGCTGTAGCAAGACACGTGTTCTCTCACTTTTGCCAGTAAATGGTTGAATGTTGGATTATTTAAAATAGCTTTGCATTTTTCTGGTAAATTTATTTATTTTTGTTTACGTACCCTGGCAAATTACTCTTTTAAAAAAAAAAAACAACCAAACATATTTCAAGAGAGAGGAGCCCAGACTAGCAGTAGAAAACCAGCTGTGATTAGAAATATTATTGTGAAAATTTCTGTTTAAATTCCCAGGACGTGTTTTAAATTGTTGAAAGATGACCATATATATTGTATTCTCTAACAGTCATGAAGATTATCTGGTAACATATAGCTCAAAGATAGATGATAATCCAACTCAATCCCCTGTGCAACTAACAGACTGCGAAATGTTTTTAAAGGCATATTTCTGTTGGATGGAAGGCAGGTATCTCAAAGGATTAGTAAATGTGAAACAGAGGCTTTCTGTATTTTAAAGCAATTTCCATATGTCATGGCCATCTGATAACTTTTTAATTGCTCAGGTTTCTGATCTCAAGACTAGCGTAATATCCTAGTTGCAATAATTGAATTAAGACAGTAATATATACCACATGTTTGCTGAATAAATACCCTAATCAAAACTTAGGAGATGTTGGATATCTCAAAATTACAGTGTAGTAACCGTCAGAGATTATTTTTAACTCTTGGATTGTCAACACTAAATCATATGTTAACCTCATATCACAGTAAGTTTTTATCAGGAAAAAACACTGGAAGTGTACACATATATCCTGCAAGGTTAGTATTTCATAAACTTAGATCAACATATTGCCTTATTCTAAGATAATTTTTGTGTCTGGAATGCATTTAGATAGTGGACACAATTCAAACATAAAACTAGTTCCTAAGCTCTTTATATCATTTGGCTTTGAAGAAGAACATGGTAAATGAACTGGGACTTAGTTCCTACAAACTTTCGAATAGGAAGTCAATTTACATGCATTTCCTCATAAGATAGATTATGTTTGCTCCTCTGTGCTTTATTGTGAATGGGACATTTTTGTCTGAGACTAGAAAATGTGAAGTGTATTCAAAAAGAAGACGGCACTGTCTCAAACACTGGACTGGCTGATGCATTTCATCTTGGCAGTGGTGCTTAGATAGAATAAGGGATGGAGAGAACTACATCTTGCTGGTGTTTGCACACGATATTGGCACTTTCTGATACACTAGCTCAGGAGTACAATACCGTGTGGTACAGGTAGTGGTCACAAGTCTACCACAGTAAGCAGCAGATTTTGAAAAATAAACTCAAGCTGCACAAGATCAAGGCAGAAATCTGTGAGGAATGCAGAAATGGCACCATAAGTGCAATATTTTATTTTCATATAATGTAAGACTACTAAAAATTGCTTTTTTGGTTTATTGCTACTCTTCACACATGTAGATATTCAAATTTGCTGGGAATGTGTGTAAGCCTTTCTTGTCCCTGCTTTACAGATGGAGACAGTGAAGCAAAGAGAAACTGCAGATGGGTCTGGGAACTGCCTATTTGGAGTTTGGTGCCTCTGTCACTAGAACATGTTGATACCGATAGTCATGTCACCAGTGCATGCCTTTCATTTCATGCCTGCCAGTTAGTGCATCCTGCTCAACAGGGAGAATGTGCTTCATGTTTTGAGCCAGATATTCAGCAGGTAGAAGTGGCTGATATTAATGGAGCTTCATTTCTCTGTGACAGCCGTGGGCTTGGCTCAGACTGGAGAAGGGTTTTCTCTTATTTTTCCATTTGGAAGCTATGCTGGTACCTGCGCATATCAAGAGAAGTATTTCTGCACAGTGAACTCATACAACCATCTGCCACTTCTGTTAACTGACAAGACAACTCTTTTCTCTTGCCAGGTATCCCACCAAATATTTCACCTCTCACCTCCCCATGCCATTCACCGATTCAGGGGACGCCTGCCACAAGTCCTACCGGAAAAACATCTTCTGTGTCATTTCCAGACTCTACAGATACCAAGCAAGGCTTAAAGCCACACAAAGTCTTAACTTCTACTCAGAGTGCACCTAGCCTCTCAGACCCTATTATCAGCCCCTCTGTCATCTGCAGCAGGTAAGATAGTAATTTGACATGCCTTGGAATCATTTCATGTTGTTCTTGTGAACAAGCTCTTTTGGCTCACGTACAAGGTTTTGTGATTTGCTGCGGTGTTGTGTATTGATATTTCACTCTATCTAAGCAGTTCTTAGTATATGAGTAATTGTGTAGATTGATGCTACAAAGTGCTTTTGAAGCACAAGACGTTAAGATACATTTATAGCTTTTACTCATGTCAGATGCACAGTCTGATTCATAAATAAGTTCTTCATCAGTAACTTCCAGATCCCAAGGTTGGATTTCATGTTAACAACTTGCGTTTCTCAGGCTATGCCCTTAACATGAACAGTCACTTTCAGGTCACAGGCCAAGTCTTTCACAGGAGGCACCTGATGTTTGATAGAAAAATCTGACTGCTAGGGTTTAAAAGCTGCTGGCCTGTAGCCTTCTGATAAAGGTGTGCCAACAGTGCCTGAAGACTATGTAATTTTGCGCACTCTCTCAGAAGCGGATCCTGTCCTCCCTAGGCAGAGTCAGATTATGTAGCGTTGGGATTTTTTTCAGAAATCAACTGCAGCCAAGTTCTTTCTGCTGCTAAGAGTTAGAGTAACACAGTTTAATTTCACACTTTAAAGTACCCATTATTAGATTATGCAGACATGCTCTGCAAAATCAACAGTTTGGAAAGAAAGTTATTCTCATTATCTTCTCGAAAAGGATTCAGTGGCTAAGTTAGATTAGTGGAGTTTGCAATATGTGTCCAGTATGGAACAGTGGGAAACGCTGGTATTTAGAAGCCTGCTCCAGTGCAGTTTCAAGGTTACCTTACTCATTAGATGTTACTTTTGGTCATAGTAGTGAGTGATTTGTGATTATTGGCTAGCCAGCAGACAGCACGTCATCTGAAGCTAGGTTAAATGTTGTCAAGTTTGACTATCTTTGGAAATAGTCTTTTGTTTCTGGCTTCAGTCACGTGACTTTGGATGTGTCTCAGTATGCTATGTGCAGGGCTCGGAAGTGGGTGTGAGCAAGTCAAAATTGAGATTGCGAGTTTGCTCAAGGGAGTCATCCTCACTGGAGTTCAGACTAGGATCCTGACAGGCTTTTAAAACCTATTTAGGTGACTGAATAGAAACTAAGAAGTTTTAAAAGTTTTCCAAAGGTATTGCAAAACTGGGACTTGCACTGATTCATTTGAAATGAAAACTATATTACACATAAGAAATATACCATAGACATGCTACTGTGTTATTAACCTGTGCCTTTATTACTACTTCAACAAGGTATTATTACTTTATCTAGTAACAGTTATCGCTAGAGGCCTTCTATTAAAGAGAAGTTAACAGTTGCATAAAAAATGTCAAAAAAAATCATAAATGTAAGGTTGTTGTAGATAGTAATGAAATATATTTTCTTCATATGTGTAGACTTTGATTTCAGCATAATCATTGGTAAAATGTTCATTAGCTTTTATGTGGCTACTGTCTTATGTGATCTGCGTAGGTTGCATAGCATATTTAGGTTCTTAATTTCCTTGTTTTCAAATGCTTAGACTGTGTAAGCATTTCAAATATTTACATTGCTGGCATAGACTTTGTTGTTGATTATTTGAAACAAACTTATTATTTAAAGTATTACGGTGTAATGACTGCTAATAGAATTGGCATCCACTATTACTGATAGTCACTGTGCCTTTAATGTCTGTTGAAAAAACATAAGCAGTGTCACATTTCTAGCCATGAAATGTCGTAACCACAGATACAAGCTGAACCAACAGCACATAAATAATGCACCCCTTAGTAATGTAGGCACAATTGAAAAAAAAAAACCCCACAACAAAAAAACAACCCTCCCCCAAAAAAATCCCAAAGAAATTAAATGGCTAAGACAAGCTGAGAGAGTTAAATTAACAAACACCAGAAATAAATCTTTTAATGTTTGAGCTTTCACATTATAGATTGTTAGTCTTCATGGTATGCAATCCCCTGCATTTACTGCCAAAAAAACTGCCTTGCTAGGAAATAATACCAAGTCAGCAAACCTCTGCCACCACCAAACCAATCCCTCCCCCAACAACAACAACAAAAGAGGAAATGAACTCTTGATGGGTTCAGTGCTTTAGATCAGATCCACCCAGGCAGTGGCATCAAGAAAGCGGTTTTACTGTACTTTTTTTTTACTTGTGAAACGTGGTAGGACAGCAGAGTTTGAAAACTGCATTAAACAGGAACATACACCAGGCAATGCTGTTAAAATAACTTGTAAGTAATCATTTTTAATTCTGCTTAGTGGAAGAGGCAGGAATCCTGTGGAAAAAATGTTAAACAATCCTGTGATTAAGAAATATATTATAATGCCCATGCATGAAGGGGATTAAGTTAAAGTTGCATGGGCACGTTTACTTCTGACATAGAGCAGATTTCAAGTGTGCTACTGGGTAGCTCAGTAATTTTTTTTTAGTATAGTGTTTTATGTGGACCACATATATATTAAATCAGTGTGAGTTTGTGTATGATCTGGAAATAAGGAGGTACACTCATAATGACACAAAAGCCTTGTAGCATTACAACCAATCAAAGGCTCTCTTTCTCTTTTACTCTTACATTTTGGCTTGTTAGCATTGACCTTATGGAAACCACAAGGAATGTGGGAGAGAGAAATTAATACATTGTTTTCATCTTGTTTATCAGCCTGAGTGATACAAGATTTATTTGCTTGGCTATGCACTACAATTATCATTGTATACAGATTTGTATTTTTATTTAAAATTCTTTCAGGAATTCATTATGTTTTCAGGGCATACCAAGCTCCAGAATATGTTTTGAATGACCCAGTCAAAAGCCATCAGGCATGGGGTTTCAGCCATTTTCATTTGGTGGACTTTCATTGGTGCAAAGTTTCTAATACAAAGTTTGACCAAACAAAATAATTTTGTAATAGTTGCTTTTCAAAGGCTGTTATATATAAGATATGCCACAAAATACTGACCCAAACCAGAGAAGGAAATGTTAAAATGTCAGTTTTTTATGGACAGATTTGATACAATGCTGCTAAATGAGGCTTCAGATTTCTTAAGTTCTCTCATGTTTTCATGGTGTATCATTGTTCCTTCAGGTCCTAGATTCAATCATATTGGGAGAGTGTAATTTGAAGTGTTCCAGCTGGTATTGAATTTATTAGGGCTTAAAGGGAATCACACACAAGGAATAAAGCATTTTAATGGAAGGGAAGAGCCACTCATTTTGAAAGGCCATGATATTGTGATCTCTCCCACAATGTCTGTCTGTTCTGGGAATGATGAAGCAAACTCTGTCTTCTTGTTTCATTGCTAAATGTTTGGATGCCAGATCACTCACCTCATGTTCTGCCCAAAACGCCCCCTTGGTTCTGGTGTACTTGGTATGTTGTCGCTGAAGTAATGCCAAAATACCTTTTTCCGCCTTAAGAGGAACATATTGAAGTTTTAAGCAAGGAAAGTAGAGTAAAGCCACATCATGAGTGTGTTCAAATTGAATTATATAAGATTGTATGGCACTCTGGCACATTTTCATCATTTTAAATCATGTTTATAGGGCAGCTGTAGTACAAAACCAGGGGATTTTTTTTGTACTGATAAACTTAGAGAATAAAAAAGTCATTTAAAAAAAAAAAAAATCACATGGTATAGGTTTACTGTTGGCAACACAAATTTAATGGTGGTGGCCAGTTAATCTAAGGTCTTTTGGTACTTTTGTCTTTTTACATTCCTGACTTCCAATAAAACTTCAGCTCACTCTTGTGATTTTGTCTGGAGAATGCACCCTGTACCATAGCTTATACTGTATGACATAATCTTACACTGTCAG